TATATATATATACTGTGTATTTACCCACTTATTTAATACTTTATTATAATATACATTTCCATATTTTGGTGATGTTTGATTTAGATGTTATTAATCACAATATTTCTATTAGTAATGATATATTTTCTTATCGTTTATCATTATTACTATTATTTATGTTTACATTTTTGTTGTATTATTGAGTATCACCACCTTTGCATGCCCCTGATGGCACTCACTGCTGTTGTAGGTCATAGGTTAACCAGCCCTGCTCTAGTCTGTTGTCATGCTATTGGATTGTCTTCGAGTGTGACTTGAGTGTCTTGACAAACATTGCGTAAAGCCATCCGGGCCGTCATAACAAGTGCATGTGTGCTTCTTCTTATTTCCGCAGAGTTCAACCAGGCTGTGCAAGGTTCTGGCAGCAATATGACAGACAAAGGCAATCAGGATCCGGTGTTTTTTTTCCCAGAGTTCAACCCGTCCGGTCAGGGCATGGGTCAGGCCGGCGGTGGCGACGAGATTGGCGGCGAGCCCTCCTCCAAGAAAATGAGACGTAATCGTTTCAAGTGGGGGCCCGCCTCGCAACAGATCCTCTACCAGGCCTATGAGAGACAGAAGAACCCCAGCAAGGAGGAGAGGGAGGCACTGGTGGAGGAGTGCAACAGGTTGGTTATTCAATAATGCCCGAGAAAACAGATTCACCAAGCTTGAACTGGACAAGAAATTTGGTTGGCATATCTGCCATGAGTTGATCCACAAAAAAGTCTCAAGAATTCATGCCTGAAAAGGCACGAAAAGGCACTCATTTTGGTTTGAAATGGCCAATTTTAAAAATGTTTTATGGGTTCTTCAAAGAGGAATTTTCCTCATTTTAGGAATTTGTCCAACAGATTTTATGTAATTGCTCGCAAATTTCGAAAATACAACCTCCAAATACAGTTTGACTTGGTGACTTAAAATTTGGTAGGTAGAACTATCAATGTGTACGAGCCCCCCAAAAATGGAGGACGCATATCTTCAATGGAATGCAAACATGACAATTTAAGAATCATTTTGCCATCAAATTTGAACGATGAATACGAGATAGATGATTCCAATAAAATATATAATTTGAGCTATTTCCAGGGTTCCCTCAAAAGCTCCAGTCCTACTTGAGCCATCACTTGTTTTTTTTTTTTTTTTTTTTTTGGAAGCACCCATGGAAATGTCCAAAATCATCATGTCTTCCTGTTCTATTTCAGAGACTGGAGACTTTAGTGTGGGTTTATTAATGATTGACATGTCTACCAAATTTCATGATGCTCAGGTAATCTTGGCTTCAGGGGCTGAATTTTCCCAAATTTTGTCGTAAACAGAGAAAGAAAGTTTTCTTTGAAAAGCACTTGGAACAATCCGAAATGATCGAAAAATGGCTATTTCAGACCAAAACTGCAGACTTGATCTGTGTTTTCAGGTGTAGCTTCTTAAGTCCTTTTTGGTGGTCTATTCATGACAGACAAGTGTACCAAATTTCATGTAACTAAGTCAAACCAGTTTTGGGGGAAAAAATTTCAAAATACTACACACAAGCTCAGTATAGTTCTTCTTTGAAGGACCTCTGAAAATGTCCCAAAATGAGCCAAAATGGCAGGCTTCCTTTGTCGGTTCATTTTTTTGTGGCTCAACTCATGGCAGATGTGTCAACCAAATTTCATGTAACAAAAAAAAAACAATAGTTTGCATGAATTAAACAGGAAAAGCACAAAGTGCAATAATGGATTGTTCTTATATGTCAAAACTGGAACTACATTTTCTCAGGTCATAGGTGACTTTTGCCGGCTGTTTACTGTATGCACAGATACAAAAATTGCGACCCTTCCTAATCAACGTGGATTTTCCCTCAGAGCCGAGTGCCTCCAGAGGGGTGTGTCGCCATCCAAAGCTCAGGGCCTGGGGTCAAACCTGGTGACGGAGGTGCGCGTGTACAATTGGTTCGCCAACAGACGCAAAGAGGAGGCGTTCAGGCAGAAACTGGCCATGGATGCCTACAGCACGCCGGCCACGCACAGCATCAACACGCTGCTGTCCCATGGCTCGCCGCACCACCCGCAGACCAGCGCTTCACCCCCAAGTAAGATAATATGCAGTGGCATTCTTTTGGTAAAAATATAAATAAAATAAATAATAATAACAATAATAATAATAATAATAATAATAAAAATGGGTGGGTCATTTATCTGCAAACTGCTTCCTTGAAAACTTAACAGTTCTTAGTCTAACAGACAGTACATGTTTAGTTATTACACACAACTCTTTTTGAAATATAAAATAGTTAAAAATATATACATACATAGAATTGTTCTTTTTAATTCCCTGTGTCATGCCCTGCCTTGTTTTTAGGCAGAATTCGTAGGGCCCAAACAAGTGAAGTCGCTGTATCCACGACAACTGTGGCAACCAAATAAATAAATGGATTTTTGAAGATAAATACAGTTATTTACAAAAAAAAATAATTTAAACATGTCCAATTATTAAAACATGAATTCATAAATTAAATTAAACAAAATTAATCCCTTCAAATAATAAATGACATGATAAAATAAATAAATTGAAACATTTGTAAAAACGAGAAAAATACACTCAAAATAAGTCATTTTATAGGTGATTTCTCTCTCTCTCTCTCTCTCTCTCTCTAATGACTCGAAATAGTTGTAGGTGACTTGAAATAGTTGGAGGCACGTACGAGAGCTGTTGATGCGATCACGAAGCCAGAGAAAGACAGACGAGTGATCAATGAGCCTGAGTGAGTGGAGCTGAGCAAATGCCATTGTCATTCGGCTCTTCAACAACACACTGAGAACAATCCGCATTGTACCTGCAATCTCCACTCCAAAGTCAGCGCGCCGGCCCGAAAGGACACAAAGGGCGGCCGCCCTGTGATGGGCTCGGGTTCGGCTTGGGGTCAGCGGGGTGACTTCGGGGAGGGGCCGGCGGCGGCGTCCCGTAGCGCCGCCACTTCCGCGTTTGATCGCGAGGAAAGGCGGTCGCCGTACCGCCGTGACCATTTCACCTCGACGCTGGTGTTTGCCTACCGAGTGATTGGTGTTGACAAAGTCTACCTGGCGTGTATACGACATAACAACAAAGCTGATAGCTTTATCCGCCGCGCCATCACTCAGCCGCCATAAAAGTGGCGGCGAGCGGGCCTATTGTGTCCACTCGTGTCCGAACACGAGGGAAAACAAACTGTTTGCCTTGGCTTTGCTCTTTTACCTTTTGATAAACCACTTGCTCCGATGTCTATTTGCCTTCTTTTCTTGTTGTTGGACGGAGTGATATGGCGTTGAAATCAGATCTCCCACATTTGAATTTTTGACATATTTGGAATTATATGCAGGACATATATAGAGTACAGCGTTCACATTATAAAAAATGAGTGAGTTTTGTGAAAAATATCATCAAAATTAGTTCTTGCACATTATGTTGGTGGGTTTTTCTGTTTTTTTTTTTTGGTTCTGCAGTTTTGTGTCGTCCTTAAATGGTAAATTTTATGCAATTTTGCACAGAAAAAAAATAACAGTATGTGGTTATTCAGTTGTTTACTTCAAGGCCTTTGTTGTTGGGTTAGGGTAGTGGATATATGAAGACAGGATTATGAAAAATTTAAATTCAGTAAGACCGCAGTGCTTGCACATATTCACGTTCACGTTTTGTCCACATTTCAAATAACATTCTGGTTAGGTGGGCCAGTTTGGGCCCTAGTAGCAGTGCTGAAAAATTGTGACCCCCCTCCAACACTGAAGTTGTCCATCCCTGATCTACATCATCCAATGAATATGATGTTCATTTGAAAATCTCAATCTCTCTTGAATGAAATTTGGCAGTCTGAAAGGCACCTTGTGGTGAAATAGACACCTGAATGACTGACCAGCCTTAGGTTGTTGCAGTCGCCGGGCTCACCTGACCAGGCGTTGACCTCCACGCTGGGCCTGGCTCTCAGCTGGCCGCTTACAAGGTGTCCTGCTGGCATCCCTCCAACGGCATCAGCTGTTTTTCAGTGTCGGGCCATAATGTCACGGTGGGGTGTCTCATTGCGTTGCTGGGGCACGGCCTGTATTATGCATGCTTAATGGACAATTAAAATCCTTTGCTACTACATCTCCCAGGCCTTTGATAAGGCGCTACTTGGACTATGCCCTTCCTCGGCGGGGGTCTCCATTGTCTGTTGTATTAGAAGACTGCACTGACTGCAAACTAGGTTCATTTATCTCCGCTAGTCCCTCAAGGAGTGGGCGGGGGGGGGGTCACATTTTACACCCCCCGCCCCATTTTACCTTTATAGGCTGCAGAGGCTGGTTGCAGACTTGGAGCAGCAGGAGCTGTCCACTGGGGTATTGGCTCTTTTTGGGCCAGACAGGACTGATGAGCCCCCAGAAAAGGGTGAGAGATGCGAATGCTCCCCGCCCCCCTCCTGCTCCACCCTCTGTCCTTCCTTCGCCGCAGCTTCACTTACGCCCGAGAGTTCAACAGTGGGTCGGCTCAAAGAATTCCCCCCTTGCTTTGTGAGTTGTCATTGATTCCGATGGCTACGCCGAGCGATCAAACCAAAATCATTCGGCAGTTTCCAGAGGTCCTAAAAAAATTTTTTTTAGTATAAATTTTACTTTGCGGTATATTTGGTAGACATGTTTACTATGCGTAGACCCACAAAAATGTCTCAAAAAGTCATTAAACTACACCCTAAAATAGACAGGACGTCTGCCATTTTGGATTGAAGCATTCACTAATGCACAGGTGTCAAACTCAAGGCCCGGGGGCCAGATCTGGCCCGCCACATCATTTTATGTGGCCCGCGAAAGCAAATCAACGATGTCAACTTTCATGATGCTTACTAAAATCTCGACCTAAATTTCAAATTCTCATTTGTAATAAATAAGAATGATACTGAAAGCAATTTCTTGTGACCAAACCCCTCATTACAGTAACTTCAACGATCGGTGAACAAACTGTTATTCTTGACTTTTTTATATGGTTTCAGCCAAAACGGCCCTCCAAAGGAAACTATAATTAAAATCTGTCCTGGGACCAAATTGAGAGGGGTCAAATTTAGCCCCCGAAGCTTCACTTAGGTGCAATGACGTTTGGGAGACTTGTGTGTCATGAGTAGAGCCACAAAAAACTCTCAAGAAGACACATCAAGCCGTTTGACTCTATTTGTCAGTCACAATGGAAATTTGTCAGGATCCTTCTCAGACAAACTACAACAGATTTTGTCCAGTTGCTACCAAATTGTCCATATGAGTTGGATGGATGACATCAGGTGATGACAAAAATCTGAGTTTTCATCAATACATGTAGGCCAAGCATGGAAGTTTGATGACTCAATAAAAACACAAAATTAGTCATAACTCAGCTGATTTTTTTTGCGGGGGCGGGGCGGGGGAATTCAGCCAAAACCCCAGTTTCAAAACGCTTATCATTGGAAATCTGATTTTAAAAGAATAAATATCCAACATGGTGATTCCATTTGAAGGGCATATCATTCAGCCCTATTATAAGGTAACACAATAGCAACATGTTAGAATATTTCATTGTTATGCTAAGACAACACAACATACGGACGATTAAGCTTCAAAACATCAAATCAAAATACGTTTAACTGTGATTCATTGGCCCCGAGCGCCCATCCTCCAGTTTGTCCGACTTTATATTGTCTGCGCGGACATACTGAAGGCCCCCGCAACTCTCGACCGGGCCTTGTAAACATCTCAAAAGACGTTTAACTGTGATTTTCATTGGCCCCAAGCGCCCGTCCTCCAGTTTGTCCGACTTCATATTGTCTGCGTGGACATACTGGAGGCCCCCGCAACTCTCGACCGGGCCTTGTAAACATGACGGCGGGACAATAAAGCACTCCATTGGACCGCTGACCCCCGCTCGGCACACAATGGAAGGGCACTCATAAAAGGGCAGTTATCTGGACCTCTTAAAGCATTAGGATGCCATTCCGACCCGCTTTGTTCAGGACCGGTCATAACTCGGACTGATGGGAGGCAACTTGAGGGACAGATTCTGCAAATACACTTGACAAGTTTCAATCAGGAGTTGTTTTTAATTTCTGCGACAGCTTTTTCACAGACCAAAATCCTGCGTGAGCGATTCTTGTCTGTGGCAGCAAATAGCTATCCAGACTTGCCTTTTAACAATGGTATGACATGGCTACGGCTTGCTTTAATACAACCTGTGTAACGAAAACACATTTGGATGCAATTTGTCATGATAAACCATAGATATTTTTCCTTCTGACCATTGCAAGCACAGTTTAGAGTACTGAGGTTGATTGAAAAACAGACATAGTGGAAATTTAGGATATAGGTAGTACGAGTCATCGATGGTGTTGTGGTGTTATCGCCTGTCTAGTTAACATGATCATCTAGGGACTGTAATTATGACTTTTATGTTGCTCCAATCAGTGGCATAGTTTGTACTTTTGAAGCTGAAAAGGGATGGTTTCGGCTCGCTATTATGTTTTAAAATGACTCAAAGACAAGGAATCATTTTATACATATCTATGAAAAAATGCCATCCACAAACCCGAAATCCCTTTCCAGGTGGCTACGAAGCCACCAGGCAGTTTTGTGATTTTTGTGGTAGAGGTTGAAGGACTTGAGTAAGATTTTGTGGTCGTCAGGTATACATCATGTAATGAGAGTCGAGTCCAAGTCACTTAATCAATGATATCATTGGAATTAATGGGATTCCTACGTGGTTTAACAGCTTGCTGGTCTCACCTTGTGTTCCATGTGTGATAAGAAGGCATATTATAGCCAGGCTCCAAAAAAATTAAGCATTTCTCTCTTTTGGATTCTATTTCACTTGTGATTTTATTCTTTTTGAGAATGGACTTTTATATATTTTGCAAGTGACCCTGTTACTGGTCTTATCTTGGCTAAAATGCTGTACTGGGACAACTGCGAAAACCCGTTGTAAAGCACGACAAAAGTGTCGCAAAGTAGGTCAGTGTGTGTAATGTTATGTTGGAGCTTGACTGCTGCCTGCCAGTCCGATGGTACCGATTCCACCTGTATGAATATTTTAAGGCTAGCGGCGACTGGGATCGTCAAAGGCTAACAGCACGTAGGTGACCACTCACTCGATGGCCGAGGATAAAACCGCTGAAATGCCGCATCGGAGGAAGTCGCCATGCGGTGCCCTTCAAAATAAATAATAAGTCCCAAACTGATTAACCACTGTTGTCATCCACAACCACAATTTTTTTTTTCATGCTCTCAAACCTGTGCAGTCATATGAGCACTTTGTCACCGTATTGGCCAGACACTTTGCTGTATCCAGCAATGGTGGCAGGTGGTGAGTAGCAAGTCCTCTGTACAATCGCCGACTGGAAGACGAGAGGCCATAAACACACGATTAGCAGTGACTTGACAGAATGCTTTAAATGTCGCTGCTGTGTAGTAAAGTTGACTCGTTGACTAGTCAACTAATCAGTTCACTTCTGTTCACTCACAGGCTCTACTGGCTTAATTTTGTTTTTGAAGTAAATAAAAACTTTTACACTAGCCTATATCTGGCAGCGCAACCCTAAATGGTTATTATCATCGTTTCAGTCCATGTCAACATTAGTCAGTAGCTTTACTGCGACCTGAAGGTACCTTTCCGCCGATTGTTAACAGGTCTTTTTAGACAAATCCAACCAATCAATCGTGAACTATTCAATACCTTGTAATTCCAAAATTTGCAAGAACCCTGCAGCCAACGTGAGAACCATGTAGTATCAAAGGCCACACACCCAACCCCAGGCTGCGCTCATTGTGTCCGCCCTGCATATGACAGACCTCCTGGGTCTATGCAGGACGTACCGTGTCCTCTTGTTTTGTCAGCGCAGCGCCGGGCCTTCTCTTTTCTCAATGCGGCCTTTTTCCTCCAGCTAGCCTGAGGTGGCTCACGTATGCTGTCCCCTTAACGTCCCCCACTCCATTAACCACCAGGCGCTTACATGGCGCTGACTCATTTCGATTCGATTGCCGTTAGGCCTGCGAGGTGCTCCTGAGGAAAAAAGTTTCCAAATCCCCGTTCTACAGTGTTTGGTTGCTAAGTTGAAAGCAAATGAAGTGAAGTGACCATGTTTGTGGAGATTCACACCTTACCGTGAACCCCCCCCAAAAAAAGACAGATGAACTAATTAACCTCAGTCAACACAATTAGCAGTTAGTGCACAGTTGCGCAAATAGTGTAACAGGACATGCAAGGCGCACGTTCTATGCACATGGCCCCTAAAACGCAATACTGTATATCATGTACCTGTACTACACAATTACAAACTAAGCACGTATCAAAATCAGAGATGGCGTAATTACTCACACCATATACTTAATTAAATATAAGTACAGAGTCGTGTGTAGAAAAAGACTGGTAAAGGTAGACGTACTGACTCAACTCCTCCACTGAACGCAAAAAGACAATTTAAATCAAGGAGGGTGATGGACTAATTTAATTCACTGCCCTCATCTGTTGTTCCAAGTAGCTCTGCCTCCTCCTCAAGCCAAAAACACGTGATTAACGACGATCTGACGTCACTCTCTAAACGTCCTCGTAATTAAGTCAACTAGTCTACAAACGCCAGTGTGTATGTGTGTGTTTGGTAGGTAAGTAAGTAGGGTGTTACGCTGTCACACCTGGGTCATGGACAGAGAGGAAGATGGGAAATCTAAAGTGCAAACATTGTCTGTGTGTGTGTGTGTGTGTGCGTGCGTGTGTGTGTGTGTGTGTGTGTGTGTGTGTGTGTGTGTGTGTGTTTGTGTGTGTGTGTGTGTGTGTGTGTGTGTGTGTGTGTGTGGGCGGTGGGGAATAAGAATGTGTTTGACATTGCTTGTAATTGTGTAATGTTGACTCTGTTGATATCACAACGGGGGCCTTGCATCGGCAAACAGTCGACTGTCAGTCAGTGTTGTCGCCTAGCATTCCACAGCTTTAGCTTAGCTGAGCCTAGTTTAGCTTATGGCAGTTAGGAAGAGCGCTTGTCGTCACATGGTATGGCCTTGGCCGAACAAGGTAGATAGCAGAGACCAGGGCAATGGGGGCAATGCGTTTGTTTGCTCTGTCAGGAAGCAGTGCTAGTGGGCTAGCCACCGTGATCTGATGTTGTTATGCTGACATACGAAACACGCTGTTTTCAGAAGTGACTTGATTATCCAGCTGGTCTGTTCGAGTCAATCAAAATGAACTTTCTCCTTAAATTGATTCTGAAAATTCGCAGCATGGAAGCTACTATTAGTGAGCGAGCCACCACGCCTTAACGTGGTTTTGCTAGCGTACAATATTTATTGTTTTTAAATTGTTTATTCAATCCATTCAGTATGATCTAGATTAGCATTGACGGACATATAAGCGAACTAGCCAACCCTTAACATACAGTATTTGTTCTTTGTCGTACCATAGTCTCCTACAAACTTACTGTTTTTGGGTCTTAATTTTTTTCGAACAATACATTTTTAAGAAAGTTTCCCATTGTTTAGGAGAACGGTCGAGTAAACATACTGTTAGGTATGTTTTATTTTGTGTGTGTCTTTTAGTGCGCTACAGCCAAGGACCCGGGGAGGTAACGTCGTCCACTACCATTAGCCACCATGCTAGCAGCGGCATGGCTACCAGCCAGTCGGTGCTCCAACAGGTGTCACCGGGAGGACTGGACCCCAGCCACAGTCTGCTGTCACCCGATACCAAGATGGTGAGTGAGCGCACCTGTGTGGGCCCCACCCCCAACACCGCGGCCCTCAGATAAGATAAGAACCGCTCAATGTTTTAGCACAATTAGCACATTATGCTGCCTTGTTGATACGAACAAAGAAACATTCTGTCCTCATCGATTAAACGCCATGCCGACAGATAGATGACGCATACGTTTATTATGATTTTTTTTTTCTCGACTGTGCCCTATTCAAATATTTGGTTTGTTACAAGGAAATATTAGAAAGATGCTGCTTTTAACAATGCAAGTGGACATTTCAGATTTTTAGAAGGGACAACAAAAGGACATCTGATTTAATGACAGAAAAAAATCATTTCTAGTTTTGCACACCACATTCAAAAATGTATTCATTCATTCATTTATTTTGATAATGTATTTGAATTATAATTTATATTTATCAATTGATAGAGCTTTGTATATTATATTAGATATTATTGTTGTTATAATTACTATCATTGTTCCTATTGTCAGCAGTAGTAATGGTATTCGTAGATGCTAACGTTAGCGTTTAGCAGGGCTGCTTCATCTCAGTGTCTCAGGCTGACAGAAGAGAAAAAAATATGTTGGAAAAACAAAAAAGTCAGCAGATATTTTTGGCTTTAATGTTTTTTTAAGCCGCTTTTTGTTCCTTATCACTGTTTGATTTTGTGTGTGTGTGTATGTGTGTGTGTGTGTGTATGTGTGTGTGTGCGCGTGTGTGTGTGTGTGTGTGTGTGTGTGTGTGTGTGTGTTTTTGTACGATGTTGTTGTCTAAGCATACATACACACCCTTTTATGAAAGAATTTGAACTAAGTCAACATGTACACTCAGGCGACATTAGGGACATGACCAAATATTTTCAAATATACTTTACATATTATGTCTTTCCCTTTTAACATTTTGTTCTCACGAAATGATCCCGTTGTAATGAAGTTGGTCGAAATAGCAATGGCACGCATGTGGTTTCAGATTTCAGGTTCCGGCGGCGGCCTCCCTCCCGTGAGCACGCTGACCAACATCCACAGTTCGCATCACAGCCACCAGCAGACACAAAACCTCATCATGCCACTTTCTGGAGTCATGGCCATCGCGCAAAGTATGTACAAAGGAAACAAAAAGCTTCAAATACAACATTTGACACCACAACTTTGAAATACAGTCATACCTCGCTTTTCGACCATAATCTATTCCAGAAGGCTGTTCGAAAACCGAGTTGTTCGAAAACCAAAAGCACGCTCTTTAAAAAAAAAAAAAATCTTTATTGAACACGTCTGATCACAATGGAGCGCTACACGAGGAAACGTCACTTCCTCGTCTAGCCGAGCAAGCGTCACTTCCTCGTGTAAGGAAGGCGAGAGGAGTCAAGTGGCGCATTCAAGTGCGCTCAGTTTGGTGGAGAACCGATTTTCGGTCGTAATCCGAAGCATAAAAAAAACTCAAAATTTTTGGTCGAAAACCGATTTGGTCGAGAACAGAGACGTTCGAAAACCGAGGTTTGGCTGCAATTACCCGGACTTGAAACACCACCCCTTGTTTGAAACCCTAACCCAATCTCAACACCCTATTTGAAACTCTAAACCTTGTTTAAAATCCTTAACCCTACTTTGAAACCCTAACCCGGGCTTCGAAAGCTTAACCATGACTTGAGACCCTCGAAACCCATGCTTGAAAGACTAACACTGCCTTCAAATCCTAATGTAAACCCTAACCTAGGTTTAAAACCTTGATTTTTAAACCCTAATCCACATTGGAAGCTCTAACTTAAAACCGTAAAGCCCCTATCCCACTGAGCGGCAAACATTGGCGTCCTGGTTCGTCAGGGTTCGTTCAAGTTCATCAGTGTTTACTTAACGGTCGCCAGACGTCCATCAGACGTTCACCTGTATTTTTCTTGTCGCAAGGGAATTTGGAACATTTTCTTGTGACAAACTGGCTTCAACCACTCACACTCGCTTGAAGCCCTAACCCTCGCTTGCAATGCTATTTTGAAACCAAATTTAAAACCCTATTTTGAAACCCAAAGCCTAGGATTTGTTTGCAACCCAAACGAAACCATAACCTGCAACCAATAGCGCCGCTTGAAGTCTGACTCTGAAACGCAAACCCTGGTTTGAAGTCCTCAGGCTGACGGCCCGCCGCACTTTGAAGCCCTAACCAGAGGCGCTCTTTTGTGTTCAGGTTTGAACACGTCGCAGTCTCAGTCGGTGCCAGTGATCAACAGCGTGGCAGGCAGCCTGGCGGCCCTGCAGCCAGTGCAGTTCTCGCAGCAGCTTCACAGTCCTCACCAGCAGAGCCTCATGCAGCAGTCACCCAGTCACATGAGCCAGCAGCCGTTCATGGCCGCCGTCACGCACTCGCACAGTCAGTAACAACCTTTCCCTTTGTTTAGCAACATCGTGTACAGTGGTGCCTTGAGATGCTCATTTCATTCGTTCCGTGACCATGCTCGTAACTCAAAACGACAGCACGGCTGATTCATAAGCCGATATAAGGCCTATTCAAAATAATAATAACCGGCCGGAGTTTTTCAGATTAAATGGCGAGATAGCCTTATTTTGTTCAGTGGGTATGGACAAGAGGGATGTCTGATAATTATTCTGTGTGAATTACACCCTTTTCCATCCTCATATGGCCATTAAAATGCAATGTCTGTAGGTGTGTGTGTATATATATATATATATAT